ATCTCTCTCCATCTCCCTTCCTCTCTGAAATCAATAAAAATATATTTTAAAAAAAAGAGAGAGGAAGAGATGACAGCTGCTGAGTTCCCACAGAGAGAGGCAGGGCCGGGATTGGAGCCTGAATCCGACTCATGCTCTTGCCTCGACCCACCCCTCCCTCCAATGCTAGGCCAGCTTTTGGCGGGCACCTGCCATCGCCAGCCGTGGGACCGGAGCCCCGCTGGCCTGTACCTGAGCAGGCGCAGGCTCCCCCGGAGGGAGCGCAGGCTCGGAGCAGGAGTCACCACGCCAGGTGGTCCCGGCGGCCCCCTGCCCCCCGCTCAGCCAAGGCTCCGTGCTTGTCTCCCTCAGTGTGAACGAGCTGTACGTCGATGATCCGGACAAGGACAGCGGGGGCAAAATCGATGTCAGCCTGAACATCAGTTTACCCAACTTGCACTGTGACCGTGAGTATTCCCAGCAGCCCTCCCCGCAGCAAGACACTGCCCCCCCCCCCCGCCCCCGTGTAGGCAGAGCTCGGGTGCACGATTGGCCAGGCAACCAGGACCAGCTAAACCAGTGATGGCGAACCTTTTGAGCTCGGCGTGCCAGCATTTTGAAAAACCCTAACTTAGCTCTGGTGCCGTGTCACATATAGACATTTTTTGATATTTGCAACCATAGTAAAACAAAGACTTATATTTTTGATATTTATTTTATATATTTAAATGCCATTTAACAAAGAAAAATCAACCAAAAAAATGAGTTCGCGTGTCACCTCGGACACGCGTGTCATAGGTTCGCCATCACTGAGCTAAACAAACAGCGCAAGCTGCCAACCACATGTGGTATGGGATTCTCCACACTCTTGAGGGGAGAATGTGATCACATGTGAATGCACTTGGTGGTTTGGTTTTCTGGGATAAAAATTAAGAAATTGCTAACGGGAGCTACCTCTGGAGAGTAGCCGTGTGTGTGTGTGTGTGTGTGTGTGTGTGTGTGTGTGTCTGTGTGTGTTGACGGGGGTGGGGGCATCTCTTAGGTCAGAGAAGCGGAGTTAGGTTGCCTGCAAATGGCTGATTGAGGGAGGACTCTCAGAAGGAACATGTTAGGGTGTCAGGGAGGTGAGAGGACACGCGTGTGAATGAGACCGCGGGTGGTCCCTCCTGGTAGCCAGGGGCTGGGCTGTTATTATCCGCATCCTTGATATCCTTGACCAACGGCTGCAGGGTGGGGTGTGGGTGATGGGTAGGGGTCGTATAACACCCCCTCCAAGCATCTCAAGGCAAGGGGACCCCCAACCAGCCAAGAGTAGTCACCCGGAAAGGGATGCAGCTCTGAGCTGTCAGCAGCCGCCGGGAAACTTCCTTTTTCACTTCACGCTCTATTTAGTTTGTTCCATTTGTTTCAACCAAGAGAATGAATTATTCGTGTAGACAGAACTCATTGGGAGAGTGGTGTGTGGCGTCAGATTCTGGCTCTTTTGGTCAGTAAGACTGTGTGACGCTGGCTGAGGAAACCTCTCCGGCCTCAGTTTCCTCACCTGTAAAATGGGCTTGGTGCGATCTGTTGCCTGAAGCTGTTGAGAGGATGTGGTAAGCTGGTTCTTAGGCTTGTGGGCGAGTGGACTGGGGGTCCCCTCTGGGACTGGGGTTCTGGCAGTTCCTCTGCCCCAGCCTGGCCCGTAACCCCCCTTCCTTCCTATTGAAGGGCAGCACATCGGGCGGGTCTGCAGGCAAAGATAGGGGGTCCGCCCTGTTACTGCTTTTGCTGAGAATTGCATCACAATCCTGAATCCACAGCGGGGCCCCGAGCCAGGGAACCTGTTGAAATAGGTCGGCTTTATTTTTATTTTATCCTCTTTCTCTTAGAAAAATAACTCATCTGGCAGCTTCTCATTCAGGAACTGGTCATGTCTCTGGAACAAGGAAATTCTTAGGCCAGAGGCCTGGGGCCAGCGGGACAGGGGAGGGAAGGGATGTGGTTCTAGGCTCCGTCCCAGCTCCAGGCAGCGGCCCAAGAGGGGCCAGCGACCTCCAGCGGCGGCCGCGCTGGCTCCTGGGGTCCGACCCCTCTGCGGGGCCGTCCCCCGACCCCCGTGGCTCCTGCTGGAGCCCCACACCCTGGAACTTTTCAAAAAGAACTGCAAGTTTATATTGTAGAGAAACAAATGTGTGCTCATCGTTGTACCTTTGGAAAATCCGGAGCCGCAGCGAGAGAAGAAATCGCCCATCCTTCACCCCCCGCAACAGCCTCGGCTGGCGGTCCAGGCCGTTCCGTCCCGCTGGCTTTCCCTTCCGCACATTTCTACACCCGGCTGAGCTCATGCTGCATGTGCAGTCTCATATCCTGCTTTTCAAACGATGGGCTTTTTGGGTTACACAACTAATACAGGAATACAGATTTTTTAAAATTTCTTAATAAGATACATGTTCAAAATACAGAAGTAGATCAAGAAAAAAGTAAAAGAAATACATGTTCTCCAGGGTGCCACCCGCCCCAGAGGTGGCCTCTGCCAGCAGTGGGGACCCCTCCCCCCACCTCTGTGTCCGCCAGCCTGCCTGTCAACATTCCTGTCAACATTCTTTCTTTTCTTTTTCCACCATTGAGACCCAACTGTATGGGGTCTTTTGGGGTTTCTTTTCCCAGCTGATATCTTGGAGCTGTTCTTCGATGCCTCATAGGATTAGCGAAACAGTAACCACAGCTAGCATTGCTGCAGCCCGGAGTCCGGGCCGGGCCCCGCCCGGAGCGCTTGGGCTGTGTTAAGGCGAGAGGTGTGCTAAAGGCCTGTGGGCTCCATGGGTTCCAATCCAAGCTTCATCGTTTCTCAGCTGTGAGATCTCAGGCTTAACCTCTCTGTGCCTCAGTGTCTCCCCCCAAAGAACGGGTCTGACAATGTGACCTGCCCCACAGGGATGTCCAGAGGGAACATTCTTACCTAAAACGCACCTCGAGGCGTGTCTAGCGCATAGTAAGTGCTGTTTTAGTTTGTCCTCCTCCTCAGACATGGAGGCTGGAGCACAGAGAGGTTAGGTAACTTGTCCCAGGTACAGCCCCACACCCGTGGCCACAGCCCTGCCCTGCGCGGCCTCTCCACGTCCCTGCCGCCCAGCATTCCTGAGGAGGCCATTCCATTGACCAGCCGCCATTGACGGCAGCTGGGCTGCTTCCAGTTGTCACGGTTTCAAATAAGGCTGCCTGAGAGTCCCCTGCACACGCCTGGTCACGTGTGCATCTGGGAAACGGGGACCCGCTGCGCGAGCCTCACGCCCATGTCCTGCAGCCCTCATCGAGGGCTGCATCCCATTCTCTTCTCTGGATGGGCTGTGGTCCATGTCCCGTCTCCATGAGGAATCGGTTCCCTTTTAAGATGAGCTCACTTGAAGTGTTGCTTCCAGCTGCCCTTTCTCTACATGGCAACCTCGGTCCTAGAATTCTTCTCAGGGAAATGCCTGCGTTTCTGTAGTTTATGGGGACCCCCCCCCCACCACCACCTTGCTACTTGGACCCTCTCAGGACAAGCAGTTGGCATGCGCCTGCCCATTTTCCAGGGTGGGAAGCTGAGTCACAGAGGTGGTGGAGTCACACTGGAGTCGAGGACCAGGACTCCCCAGGTTTCCCATCTAGTGTACTGAGCAACCCCAAAAAGTGCCTGAGCCCCTGCAGGGCGGGCCTGGAGGAACAGGCATGGGGGTAAAGGAAGGTGTGAATGAGTGAATGAATGAAGAATGAGTAATGAATGAATGAATGAGCCGGTTTAACCAGGGAACCCAGAGGCTGACTGAGGTACAGGAAGTGCTGAAGCTCATTAAGCACTTGCCACTCCTGGGCATGAGACCCTGTCTGAGCGTTTTCGATACGGATGAGCTGTGTGAGCCTCGTGATTCCCCAAGGAAGGCTGCATTGTCGTCACCCCATTTCCCAAGAAAGAAACGGAGGCCTAGACAGATGAAGAGCCTCTGCCAGGGTGGGTGGTGGGTAAAGGCCGCAGGGCCAGGCCTCAGACCTCCTCCTCACCCTGACCCTCTGCTGCCTGCCGCAGCCTCCACCTAGCAGAGTGTCACCCCTGCACCCCACAGTCCCCCATCACTGGCCCCATTAGCTGCTGCCCCCCCATTTTTTCCCCTCGTCCTTTCCAGCAGACAGAGGGGAGGGGGAGTGTAGGGGGCGGCTGGCTCCCTCTTAGTCCAGGGTCACTTTCTCCTCCTCCGATGGCTGGCTTCCCCTCTGTGACTCTGGGCCCCAGACCTTGAGCCCAGCCCCGCCTGTCCCTGGAGTGGACGGGGGAGGGGGCCGGCCTTCACCCCGTTTCTCCGGCTGTTTGTGACTCTCCCCTCCTTGGCCTCGCAGTGGTCGGGCTGGACATCCAGGATGAGATGGGCAGGCATGAAGTGGGGCACATCGACAACTCCATGAAGGTCCCGCTGAACAGCGGGGCGGGCTGCCGCTTCGAGGGCCAGTTCAGCATCAACAAGGTACGGAGAGCCGTCTGTGCAGTCCCACCCCCTCGGCCCTCTGCCTCCCCGGAAACCGATGGCGGAGCTGTGCACCCCCTCGCCTCCCCCAGGCGTTCCCAGCAAGTGGGGTCAACACCCAGGGGTCTGGCAGTTCCTGCTGAGAGTCTGCGTGGGGGATCCAGGCTCCCTGGGGTTTGGAGCCCCTGCTGGCTGGAGCAGGTGGGGGGGGGGGGGGGGGGGGGAGGTGAGAAGACGGCAGCTTTGGCAGCCCTGAGCCCTGCATTTGCATCTCAGCTCCATCCCCTCTTGGCCAAGCAACGCCCTCCAAGTCACTCAACTCATCTTAGCCTCCGTTGTTTTGTTTGTTTTATGTATTTTATTGATTTTTTTACAGAGAGGAAAGGAGAGGGATAGAGAGTTAGAAACATTGATGAGAGAGAAACATCGATTCAGCTGCCTCCTGCACACCCCCCACTGGTGATATACCCGCAATCAAGGTACATGCCCTTGGCCGGAATCAAACCTGGGACCCTTTAGTCTGCAGGCTGATGCTCTATCCACTGAGCCAAACCGGTTAGGGCTCCGTTGTTTTTATTGTTTGTTTTTTTCTTCCAAAAAGTTATTTTTATTGATTTCAGAGAGGAAGGGAGAAAGAGATAGAAACATCAGTGATGAGAGAGAACCGCTGATCAGCTGCCTCTTGCACGCCCACACCAAGGGTCAAACCTTCAACCCGGGCCACATGCCCTGACCCAGGATCCAGCTGTGACCTCCTGGTTCATAGGTTGACATTCAACCACTGAGCCTTGGTTTTTACATCTTTAGGTGGAGGGTGGGGTGATGATAATCATCTAATGATCCCCTCCCTTCACAATGTTTGTGTGAGGATTAAGTGGGCTATTACACATTCATTCATTCCAAAAAATTTTATCAAGCACCTTCCAAGGCCCAGGGTAGGTTATCAGCTCAGGGGCAACGCGTGGAATGGGTGGGCGGAGTCCCAGTGCTGGTGACCTTCGTCTGGTGGAGGGAGACGACATATACGAGCTGTAACGAGCTGAAAAGCGTTACGACCCAGGCATCCCGGCCCCCGGACTCCCGCTCCTCCCCCTGGTCCCCCGTTGCTTCCTCTTGTCCACACCTCGGTCACACGTGATGTGACCAGTGTGTCCATTCACTTCAGAGCACAGCTCGGGCCAGCCTCTGCCCCCCACCCTTGACCGGTGAATGGTTCATGCCTTTGAGGGGCTCACAGTCAAGGGGTGCTCGGATAAGAAAGCCCGCCGTGGTGACGGGCGGGTGAGGCTCACAGCAGGCCCCACCCTTTATCTCGCAGCGTCAGGCTTACGCTGGCCGCGTGGCCTCCTTATCTCTCCATCAGGAAGCTGGCCAGCAGCCAGAGGTCAGAGGTCACGTTTCAAGCTGCACGGCAGCCCAGACTCCCCGCTTACTCACCCTCTGCGCCCCCGGAGGCAGGCAGGATCGGCGGGGGGTTGGGGGCCTGGCTTCTCTATATTTTTAAAACCCATCAGAGGCACTGACGCAGGTTCCTAAGTCACAGGCTCTAAAAGCGTCGACTTGTCTTTCTCCGGCCCAGTGTGTGCTGGCATGAGTCAGCCACCTGTGATGGATTCTGTGCGGAGGGGGCGCGGGCCACTGAGTCACAGCCCGAGGGGTGGCAGCGGATGGCAGATGCGCAGGAGCCGGGCTCCTTGACTCACTTAACTCTGGGACGTGAGGCCCCGGCCCCAAACCCGATTCTGAACTCTGCCCACGTCCACGGGGCCCAGGTGACCGTGTAGAGGGGCCCTGAAGGACACGCCAGACGCCACGGGTGTCTTATTTCCGGGGGTGGAAGGTGACGGGGACTGTGGTCCTGACTATATCATGTGAATTTTTTATAATGCGGATGTATCCAGGTATTATTTACAGAAGTAAAAGTGGTGTTTAAAATGTGTTTTTAATATATATTTTTTATTGATTTCAGAAAGAGGAAGGGAGAAAGAGAGATAGAAACATTAATGATGAGAGAGAATCATTCACCGGTTGCCTCCTGCATGCCCCCCCACTGGGGATCGAGCCTGTAACCCGGGCATGTGCCCTGACCAGGAATCAAACCCTGGCCTCCTGGTTCATAGGTCGACGCTCAACCACTGAGCCACGCTAGCCGGGCACGTTTAAAATACGTTTAAACGCAGTGGCTCTTGCCCCGGCCCTGGCTGTGTACATGCTGTGCCCTCTTCAGGAGGGCCCTCTCTCGGCTCTGACGACAAACACACCCACCTCTAACCCAGCCCAGTAACGACCGCCATCGGCCTGCACGCGTCACCGCATTGAATCCTCCCAGGAGCCCTCGTGGTTATCACCCCGTTTTGCTGACGGGGAAACTGAGACACAGAGTAGCTACTGACCGTGCCCGAGCCCCCCAGCTGGGAAGTGGGGCCAGCCTGGCCCGGGTGTGGAGCTCGCTCAGCTGCTGCTCTGTCACCGTCCTTGGGCCCCTGGAGCGGGCGAGTGTCCCTCCCGGGAGATCTGACCGAGCTGCCATTCCCGCTCACCCCGAGACCCGTGGCTGCCTGCACCTCCTCCTCCCAGCTCCCTGGGCCCAGGGCCCGGCTCCGTGCTAGCCACTCGATTGCGAGCTCGCCGAGGCCGGGCCACTTCCCATTGGCCAGGTTCCTCCCATGTCAGCCCCCAGCTCAGGCCTCAGTGCAGACAGGACTGTTCCCGAGAGAGACCCAGAGTGTTTGAAACAGGCGTGCTTGCAAAATAAGCCACACTTCCTGCTCTAAGAGGGGGCGGTGCTGCTTTGGAGTTTGAAGAAGCCCCTTGGGCTGCAAGCCTGAAGGTCGTCCCCTCACCCGCTGTGGAGCCCACAGTCAGGGAGGTGATGGTGTTTGGAGCCATGGCCTTGTGCCAGGTGCCCAGCGGGCATGCCCGGCCCCCATCCCCCAGCAGCCCCTCCGGTAGCTCTGCCACTGCCGCCATCTGCAGACGAGGAACCTGGGCTCAGAGGGGGGCCGTGGCTCCTCAGAGTCTCGTGGGCTGACCGATCTGGGTCCAAATCCAAACGTGTCCGACTGCAGGAGGAAGCCCTGCGTCGTCTCCCCCCTCCACCCCCCCGCCCGCAAGGGTCAGCCCACTGACCTCTTGGCACTCGCCTCTCTCCCCAGGTCCCCGGCAACTTCCACGTGTCCACGCACAGTGCCTCGGCCCAGCCCAGAACCCGGACATGACCCATGTCATCCACAAGCTCTCCTTCGGGGACACGCTGCAGGTGAGCAGCCGCACCACAGGGATGGGCACACGGGGGCTGTGTCCCCCGAGCCGTCTGTCCTTCCTGGGTGCAGAGCGATGCCCTCCAGAGAGGTCGCCCCCTTTGATCCTCTGCTCCGTCCACAGCCTCTCCAGTTCATTGCTCTTGAGCACACGCTGGCCTCGGACCTCGGGTCCCGACCTGTGGCCTGGGGAAAGGGCCTCGCTGTTCATGAGCGAGTACTAAGTGCTGGCGCTTCCTCTCTGTCCGCAGCCTTGTGAGGTGGGAGGGGGCCCACAGTTTACAGACGTGGAGCTGGGACCAGAGAAGCCACTTGTCCAGGGTCTCCCAGCAGATCTGTCCGGCTCCACAGACCAGCCCGCCCACTCCCCTCCGCGGGCCCCTCGGCCTGACTGCTCGGGCCCACGCCATTGGATAGGGGGAGCGTGGTGAAGTGTCCAGAGTCCTGGCTGCTGACCCAGAGACCCCCCCAGCAGGCCCAGCCCAGCCCAGCCCAGCCCAGCCCATTCTTACTCAGACCAGCAAACACAGAGACCACGAGGTCCCACACCGGATTGCACGTGGCCGTCCCTCACAGCCGGGGCCGGGCCTGGAGCCGGCGGCCTCCTGAGGCCTCCTCGCTGTGCTTCTCCGCAGGTGCAGAATGTCCACGGGGCCTTCAATGCGCTTGGAGGAGCGGACAGACTCACCTCCAACCGTACGTGTCCGCCTGGAGCCGCCTCCAGCCCCGGGACCCCAGCAGCCGGGAGGGAGGGGGAGGGCGGCACCGTTCTCGGGCCGGCCTGGGGGTGGGGGGTGGCATTACCCATCTCACAGAGAAGGGGAGAGTGCCCTGCTCCTGGGAAAGTGTGGCAGCCCCAGGCGCACCGGGAGTGGCAGTGAGTGCCAGCCGCTGTGGCGTCACTGCTGTCCTGACAGCCACGTAATTGTCCTTAGTTGAGCTAGTCACCCGAGTCCCACAGGGAGTGACAGCAGAGCCAGAATTCATCCCAGACCACGTGGCACCGTGGGAACCGGTCTGTGGGCAGCTCAGTCAGGTCTGGCCACCTGGGCCACCTCCCCCACCCCCTCTTCCTGCTTGAACCCCTCCCACCCACAGATGCCCCCACCCAGAGCCTCTCCCGCCTCAGCTCCCCGGCTCTCTGGTGTTGATTAAAGTACACCTACATGCAGGGGTGTGCCCACGCGCGGGGCCTCGGACCCGTGCACAGCACCGGCCTGGGAGGCCTGTCCGCCCGCTGGGTCCTGCAGGACAGGTTATCTGGCCTCTTCTAATGGCCTCACGTGAGCTCACCTTTTTTCATCCACAGGCTTTTCTTATTGTTTCTTTTTCTTTTTAAATTGATGTCAGAGAGGAAGGGAGAGGGACAGAGAGATAGGAACATCAATGATGAGAGAGAATCATTGATCGGCTGCCTCCTGCACGCCCCCCACTGGGGATCATGCCTGCAACCCGGGCATGTGCCCTGACCGGGAATCGAACCGTGACCTCCTGGTTCATAGGTCATCGCTCAACCACTGAGCCACACCGGCCGGGCTTCTTACTGTTTCTTAAAATACATTCTGCTCTCTAATCGTCAGAAATCTAAGCACGAGAAGGCATCTCCCCATGAGCTGCCCCCCAGGAGCCCCCCTGTTTGTTCTCTGTGCCCCTGTGAGTTCTCGCCCATCCACACACAGAAGCCATTTCTTCAAAGCGCCATGTGCTCGGCCTGTTGCATAACCGCATGTTGTACGGTGTTCCCCGCGGTGACGGAGGCCGGTGCCGTCGGCCAGCTCGGCCAGGCTGAATTCAGGCGTTGTCTTTTCTTGGGAAATGTCTCCTCTCGTTTTTCACCCCGACGGTAATGCCGCTGGTGCTTGTGGGGTTTGCTTCACGTTACCCAGTGGCTTCCCAGCGCTCCGCGCCCGTGGGTGCTGCCTCCGGCGGCGTCCGAGCAGCCACATACCCCCCGTGTTCATGTGAATGTCACGAATGGTGGGGAGTCGTCATAGGTCTGTGTAAGGGCAGCGTGTTGTCTCAAGGTGGCCCCAGTGGTGCAAGCCAGTAGAGGGTGTGGGCAGAAAACCTTGCAGCCAACGAAAGCTCAGCTCATGGCAAGAAAAATGCCGTAAGTCGGGCAGCAGACGCTGGATTTTATTTCCTCAAACTCGGTCCCCCTGCTGGGCCTTGGCCTTTGAGGGTCCCCGTGCCCTCGGGTCTTCCCACTGGGGCTGCTTGTTGTCATTCAGGTTCAGCGCAAATGCCGCCACCTCAGAGAGGCCCTCCCTGATTACCTTATCTACAGTAAACCCACTCCTCCTAAGGAACAAACCTGTTTTTCTTCTTAGCTCAGCCCACTCTCTTTGCAGATACTGGCTGTTGATATTTGAGCTGTAATGATGGCATTGTGGTGGTGGTGGTGGCGGCTGTTTTTTTCAAGGAGCTCTTATCTTTGAGGGAGACATAAGTGAAATGTTTGTGGATGGCTTGATGTGATGTCCGGGATTAACTTCAACATCAAATGGGGGCGGGAGAGCAGTGGGGCACAGATGAAGCAAAACTGGCCACTGTTCCTTGCTGACTCCGGGGAATGTGTGCACGGGGGTTCGTTATACGGTCCCCGGTTTTTTATGTGTTTGCGCTTTCCCATAATATGCGTGAAGGGCAGGAGGGTGTGGGGGCCTCCGCCAGCCCCTGGGAGCGGTCAGCCGAGAGGGAATCCGTGCGGGAGTGTGAGGTGCTGCCGTGGACATCGGGCAACTTGTGTCAACGGCCTTCAGAAACGGTCCTTGCGTCTGCATCGTCAGTTGTGCACATGAGAGAGTAAGCCGAGGAAGTAAGTCAGTCGAGGGAATAATTAAGTGTCTGAGGACTTAGGAAAACACTGTCCATTAGGTCATTGTTTACAGGAGGGAAGAGGAGGAACAGCGTCTGTGTCCAGCAGGGTTGGGGGGGGGGCTTGGTTGAGTACGTTGTACGTGGCCTCGCCGCGGGACACAGGCCCCCACTGACCGCCGTGGGTCAGAGCCTCGCTGGCATCCAGGCAGCAAACGGTTACTGAGCACCTACTGCGTGCCAGGCGCCGTGCCAGGGGCTATGACAGGGCATATGTCCTACGCTCTGGTGTCTGTGGTGTCCAGTTCTTAGACGAAGGTACAGTATGATCCTGTTTTCGGAAAATATAAACAAACTAAGTATCCATCCTAGTTTCTACCCCAGAGTGCGAATCCACGGTCTCCTGTGCCTGGTGGCTTTGTGAATGGTCTCTATGCTTTTCTTTATGACCCTCTGTTTTAACAGAACTATTTTCAACGTGTTTGTAACTTGTTTGTAAACATCGGTTAATGACATTATAGGAGATGTCAGCTTTATAGGCCAACGTCTGTGGGCTCCATTGACGGCTCAGCCCCCAGAGTCCAGTCTCCTTCCATCACCTTATATCCGGCCCCTTCGCCCTCTTCCTCCTCCCTCCACCCCTCCTTTCCCGGTGACCTCCCTTCTGCTTCATGGCACCCTTGCAGGTGTGATTTCAGGCCTCAGGTTTTTAACCCGGGGCGATGGGCATCCGAGCCCTGTATTTCACGTGTGGGCTCCTGGTGTAAAATGCAGACAGGTTCTGAGCCCCACCCCAGGCCCACGGAGCAGGAATCTTTGGGGGGGAGGGCGGCGAGCCAGGTGCCTGCCTTTTCTGGGTGACTCCAGTGCTTTGCTCTCTGAGGACCACTCAGGGTTCAGCCGAGGACGATTGGGGTCGTCGTGGGCTTAGCCCTGAGGCTGCAGAGCTCTTCCCGGGTTTGCAGAGGGGTCAGGCCTGAAGACAGTCCAGGCCGCGCTGTCCCTTCCTTCCTGAGACTTGGCGTTAGCAGGAAGAGGCCGTGCACACCATCTGCACCCCCCCACCCCCCGCCCCCGCCTCTTACAGAGGATGAGTGCAAGGCTCAGGGCTGACTCAGCCAGGAGACCAGGGTTAGAACCCGCAGGTCCGCACTTCTGTGTTATTCCAGCTCCAGGGGCCCTGACTGGAGAGTCCAGAAGGCAGTCATCGACGGGTCCTGGCGCTTCTTCCCTCAGCATCCCAGGAGGCCCCGGGGAGCGCATACCTTTCCCGGGTGCCACTTGGCAGCTTGGGGCCAGCGCTCCGTGAGGCTCCTGCTGGATTCCGGTTGCCTCATGCTTATCAGAAGCTGAATCATCTGCTCTCCCATTCATGCCTCTGACCAGTCATCCCTCCATCCGTTCATTCATTCAATAAGCATTTGCCGCTGTCCGCTCCGTACCAGGCCCGGCACCGGGTGCTGGGGATGCGGAGCTGAGTCAGGCTGGCCTCTGCCCCCCGCGGCCTCCCCATCCAGGGGGTGGAGGTGACCGTTACCGTGAAATCCATGACAGGGCCCGGCGGGGGGAGCACAGACCTCCCAGTCACTGAAAATGGGGAAAGAAGTTAATTCTTCCTAGATGGCGTTTTTCTAGTTGGTGGGGTGTGCTCTTTCTTTTTAAAACCTCAACCCGGTTTGTTTCCAACGTAATAATGTTCAAACAGGACCAGAGGGTGCACAGTGAAATGTGATCTTTATCACATCCTGCCTCCTTCCCCAAAGGCTAAGGCTGGTCATCGTTCTTCGGGTATCTTTCCAGAAAATGCTTCTATGTATTTTTGCATGTGGAGAGCATGAGCCTTCCCTGCCCCCCATGCGTGGAAACGTATTATTCACCCGGTTATGTAATGCGGTTCTTTACGTAACAGTTCCTCTTGGCAGATGGCCTGGCCCAGCACCCACCCCGTAGGCTGCCCTGTGAACGGGCATTGCGTTGTTCGCCCAGATTTTAATATTAAATACAGGAGTAACGATCCTGAGGTGGAGTCTTTCAATGCCTGGTGTCGAAGGGAGAAGATGAAGCGGGTTCACCGGTTCGGGGATGAGAATGTGGAGGCTGAGCCCCCACCCGACCCCCCCAATCGCCAGCAATACCAGCCACGCCGCTTGAAGGTTGAAATGACCTAGAGCTGCCACCCCCTGCTTCATTGTTCTGTGTCCTTCCCGCAGCCCTCGCCTCCCACGACTACATCTTGAAGATCGTGCCCACCGTTTACGAAGACAAGAGTGGCAAGCAGCGGTACTCCTACCAGTACACAGTGGCCAACAAGGTACGGGCAGCGGCCGCGGGGCCCGGCTGCGTGCAACAGCGCCCTCTGCTGGCCGAGCGCAGAGGCTGCACGTGTCGGGGCACAATTTGAGAAAGAGCAGGCAGGTGGCCGCCCCCAAAGGTCCAGGAGTTACGGCCGGCTCCACAGCCCTGCCTCTGGCCCCTGACTGGTCAGCACACGACAGACGCTTTGGCTCTTGAATCACACCGATGGCCATTGGTTAGCAGGAATGTCCCAGGACCCCAACACCCCAAGTCACGGAGAAGCAGGCAGGCCTCGGGGGGGCAGGGCGTGGTCAGAGCCAGCGGGATGGGGTGACCAACAGGGGTTTCAGGCCGAGGGCCTCAGGCTGCCCGGGGGAGGACCCTGCCTGCCAGTGGGACATGGATGCCTGAAGCTCGTTGGTTGAGGTCCCCCCACAAGACCCCTTTGCCACCAGGACTCTCCTTTTTCATCTGGTCCAGGGCTGCCCAAACCCCTTGTACGCGATACAGTGTTTCGCTCAAGTAGTAATAATAATAATAGAGCAGTAGCTCTCATTTACTGAGCACCTGTAATGGGTTGGACACTCTGCTAAGCTCTCCACCTCCACCATCTTTTTCAGTCGTCATGACAGCTCTGACTTCGGGATCATTATTGTCCCCATTTTACAGATTTGGCCACTGAGACACAGAAAGGTAGTCAAGCTACAAGGCAGCCGAGTGGGGTTTAGAACCGGCTTCTCCTCGGGCGCCAGAGCCTGGCCTCCTGGTCCCATCGCCATTCCCTCTGAACAAGGGGCGGGAGGCTGCGGGCCGGGCCGTCCTCCCTCTCGGGGTGGCCTGAGGTCCCTCGGCTCCGACCCGCCCGGGGTGATGTTCCGGTGAAACTCCCCAGAAGGAAGCCTGTTTCTTCTATTCTCTGCTTCTCGGAGGGCGTGTCATTGTCACCCTCAGGTGCTGACAGCCTCTGACAGCTGGGAGAACGCGGAGGCAGTCTGAGCAGAAGTCGGGGAGCCGTGGAGGAGACAGCCGGTCCCGACCTGGCTCAGTCCCTAAGTCTCATAACCCCCTTGGTGCCTCAGTTTACTCATTTGTAAAATGATGCCCACCTCATAAGACCATTGTCAAATGAGGCGGTGCCTTTAAAGCCAGGCATTGGATAAGGCTTTGGATAAATGCTGCTCTTTTTTCACTATTTCTCTCTGACCCTCAGCCCCAGGCTATGACCCAGACAGTCGCCCTGCCCCATCCGCTCCCCTGGAGAAAGCTGATCTTGTTTTGCCCGAGGCTCCTTCCCCTGAGGCATTGGCCAGGGCCCAGCGCCCAGAACAGCTTGCTCAGCTCCCTCTGTGGCCTTGGCCCCAGCTTGCCCCGAGAGCGAGTGGGGCTGTGCCCATCGGGGACGATGAACAGAGAGGGCAGGTCTCGGGCTCATCCTCAGGAGAAGTCTCGGATCCGGCCCAGCGTTTGGGGTTGGGGGTGCCCCGGGGGTTCAGCTTGGTCTCCAGATGTTGGAGGTGAATGAGGGAAGCCCAGAGGGCTGCAGCATCCCAAGGCACCCAGACCAGAGAGGGAACACGGCCCACTCAGGCCCTTAGCATCCTTTCGGCCCCAGCGGTGCCTTCCTGGGAGGCCGGTGTGGGGCTGAGCCCTCTGGCTTTCCAGTTCCGTGTGTTCCTTCCTCCCACGTGGTCTCAGACGCACCTCGCTGTGTCACACACACACACACTCCTCAGGATGTCATGTGTGGCATAGGATGTCCCCTCCTCACTGAACCTTCCAGACGCCCTGGGGAGACTTGGTCACTTGTCCCGTGACCCCTGCAGGACTCCGTGTCCCTCGGTCACAGCGTGCGCGGTGTGGCAGGATTGCACATATTGTTACATCTGCCTTCCCCAGATGGTGACCCCCCTGGGGATGGGGTGGGGCTCACTCCCTGGGGTCCCCAGCCGCCAGCATGGCACCCGCACACAGGAGAGGCGCTTAGGAAACTTGCTGAATGAATGAATGGGTTTTGCACGGCCCAGGAAGCGGGAGAGAGGCCGTCATTCAGAAGGAGCCCAAATCACACTTGTCCTTTTCCCTTTCTGCTCTCAGATTCTTATTTTTATTCTGGCGCTGCTTCTGGGATCAAAATATAGACAGTTTCCCGGCAGCCAAGGTCAGAATGCCCCCAGCAACGATGCCCGTCCAGACCAACGCTGACGGCACAGGCTCTGGGGAAGGGGTGTGCGAGGAGGGGCCGGGGGGGCTGGCTCCCTGGGAGAGAGAGGGAGGAAGGCCCATTCTGTAATCCACCCCCCACCCACCGTGAGATGCGGTTTGTGTGCCTGCATCTCATGCCCTCCGCCCCCCGCCTCTTCTTCCACCCAGGAGTACGTCGCCTACAGCCACACGGGCCGCATCATCCCTGCCATCTGGTTCCGCTACGACCTCAGCCCCATCACGGTCAAGTACACAGAGAGACGGCAGCCCCTGTACAGGTTCATCACCACGGTGAGTGGGCAGGGTGCCTGCCGGGGGGCGGGGGGGTCCTCCTCCTGGAGCCTCCACTGGTTCTTAAATAAACAGGGCACAGCCCTCAGGACTGGGGGCTCAGGCTGTACAACAGGAGGCTTTGATCCCTACGATGTGCAGAACTGTCATCAGAATCACATCGGTATCGTCGGTGGTTCATCAAGAAAATGTTTTCCAGTGGGGAGTGCCGTGCAGCTCATTGCTTAAGCCAGTGGTTCTCAACTTGGCTGCACATTAGAATCACCTGGGAATCTTTTTAAAATCCTGATTTCTGGGCCTCCTCCTCCGGAAATTCTGTTTCTTTGTTATGGGGTGGGGCCACAACATTAGTAACAGGGAAAGAGAATTTCCGGAGGATGAGACCCAGAAATCAGGATTTTAAAAAGATTCCCAGGTGATTGTAATGTGTAGCCAAGGTTGAGAACCACTGGCTTAAGCAGATCTTTGTGTGGCTCGATTTGATGTTCGTGGCTGCCTCCAGTTTTTCACTTTTATGGGTGTTATTGTGAGCAGGGTTTATCCTTTTCTGTGTGCATTTTGCAGTGAAGGCTTAACTCGTTTTCTTTCCTACGTCTGTTTTCCAACCAGAGCTGCTGATATCATCAGGGTTTTTCTTTCCTTCCTGCCTGTCCCTTTTTTTTCTTCTTCTTTGCCATTGTCTCTGCCAACGGAGACAGCTTCAAGCTGATGTCATTCTTCTCTGAGCCTCATTGCCGAGTATGCGGTTTCCTGGGCTCTCGTTCCCCACGTCCTCGGGGGAAGCAGCGGGTCACGGTGCCCTGCTTCCGCCAAGAGGCCTGAGGTGTTTGGTGCCAGAGCCGGCTGACGTGAACAGATGGGGGATCATCCCTACCTCACAGATTGGGAAACTGAGGCCTGGAGGCCCTTATGCTGCTTCTGCTCCTCTGCATACTTTGAATAAGGAGTCAGGGTTAGGGGTCCAGTCCTGGCACTTGCATTTCTGGCTCTGACTCAGCTACAGAAGAGACAGGACCCCACAGCGAGCTGGTTTGAGGGGGTCGGTAGGCCTCAGGCATGGCTGGATCCAGGCATAAACAAGGTCTACAGTAGGCCTTCCTTCAACCCCTGTTCCTCTGCACCGGCTTCGTTTTCAAGCAGAATTTACCAGTAGGAAATGCCTCGTTCTCAGTGACTCCGCCCTGAGTCCTGGGTAGGGTAGCGCTGTCATTGGCCTGGCTCAGGGCCCATGCCATCCTTGTGGCCTGGAGAATGAATGGAGCCTGCAGCTGGCCAGCCCCACCCAGACCCCAGGGACAAAGACTGCAAGGGGAACATCTGGGGCCAGTCCCCGGGAGGGAGGAGCGGGTGCCAGGAGGCAAAAAGGCCCTCCTCTCCCAACCTACAAAATAGGAATAACACCCCATCTCTCCCAGGGCCGCGTGGGACTCACGCGCTTTGCAGGTCTAGAAAGCCATGTGGATACGAGGCTGCCAGACGTCTGGGTTTCTATGAGCCTCAGAACAGCCCTTTCTGTTCCCCGACTCCATAAACAACTTGAACTTCTAGTCCACAAAGGGCACCTGCCATCGTTAAAACAGCAGACCCAGACAGGGAAAAGGCATTTGCCGCACATACAAGGGAGGACTATGCTTAAGAATGGACATAGAAAGAATCCCTACAAATCAGTAAGAGAAAATTAAATGATCCAAAGAAAAATGGGTGAGGACAGGCGTTCACAGAAGAGACCACACCGGCAGTCGAGCGAGGCCCGGGTTCACTAGAAAGTGGAGGACTGAGACTCGAAGCAGCACGTCCGGTTCGGTCCTGTCAGACGGGCAGATGGGAAGGACGTGCCCGCACGGAGATGGGGAGGCTGTGCAGTGAGTGGGGGAGACCTTCGCGCACCACGCGGTGCACGGCCCCGGGCCAGCCACTGTAGAGGGAGATGCGCAAACGCTTTGACCCAAGTCGGGATGTGTGAACAAGTGATTTCACCCGCGGCCTCGCGGAGCGGCCCCTCCGGGGATCTTGGCGCTGATTCGGAAAAAGATAGAAACCAGGGTGCCAGTCGGTGCCTCTGCAGGTGTGGCCTGCGGCCTTGACAGTGGCAGGGAAACCCCGTGCCCACACCTGGCTGTAGGGCTTCATCCCCCTCCTGTTTGCTCCTGTGAGGCCAGACCGCTGCGGCGCTGAGGGCTGCAGCCCTCGGCGAGTGGCTGAGAAATGAAGCCGCTTCATTTGTTCGCTGAACATTTGCTAGAGTTTCCCACATGCCGGGCAACCAGACAGATGAATGAGACATCACCTCGGCCCTCGGGCTGCTCCCCGGCTGGTGGGCCCCAGGCGTGGTGGGGACAGAGGTGGGCACAGGCCCCGTGGTTGGGAAGGTTCTGAGAAGGAAACCCGGAGATGGGATGGAAGGGTGAGGGATGCGTTCCAGGCTGAGGGAAGGAGAGAGGCTTTAAGCAGAGTGCCTGCATGGGTGCCCCGCATAGCGCGTCCTGTGGAGGCCAAGTGGCCTCCTTCCATGGGGGGGCGGGGGGAGCCCAGAGGGCGCAGGGGAGGAGCCTGTCCTTCATTACCCAGAGCCCCCCCCCCCCACCCCCCTGTGAGCTGTGCTGCAGGGAACCTCCTGACATCATTAGGCTGGTCGTTTTGTCTGAAGGCCCCAGGACACCATCTCGGTTGCCATGGCAACCAGGGTCAGCCTTGAGAGCCAGCTGGCTGTCCCTGGCAGATGGCGTCATTGTGCAGCTTCAGTCGCTCTTGTCACGGGACGGGGACAGCAGATGTGGGGATGACGTGCACGGGCAGGCACCCAGCACAAAGACCCCCGGCAGCCCCGTGCGGCGGGCGGGGCGGGCGGCACCTGCTGTGACTTCTCTTTCTCTCCTTTAAACACCAAACACTTGTGTGCAAAGCTGGGACTCCAAGTGGGGGCCTCTGCAAATAGCTCCTCGAAGAGGCTGCCGAAGAGGGGTGCGTCGGCCAGAATGTCGTCATGTGGCGGCTGCAGAGGCAGCTGTGGGTGGGCTGGAATGAGGGGTGGGTCCAGCCGGTGGCGGGGGTGGGGGGGGCTGGGGTGTGGAGGGGAGAGGCGAGGGGGCCTCCCCAGTGTAGTTCTAAGTATCGAGTACCTGGCGTATTCGGAGTTGCCCCTCCAGGGTCTCCGAAAGGGCCTGCTCTTCCTGAGCCTGGACCCAGGAGGGTTCCTCCAGGCTGCCCCGCGCTCCCCTCTCCGGCCACCCAGGCCACCTCGCTCAGGTTTCTGCTTTGTGCTATTCCGGAAAATTCCACTAAGGGAGCACACAGATGGCGTTCAACAGCGGGCAAGTGTGAAGTGCCCCCTCCCACCCACGCACAGCTGTCCCTGCCGCTCGCCGACGCCCCTCTTCGAGATGGCCTTTGAGTGGGCGGCGGTGACAGATCGGATGGCTTCAGGTGGCGAGTTGCTTTCCTTGTGTGTTTTATTCTATTTGGGGCCCACGACTGAGAAGTCACAAAGGACAGACTGGGCCGGGACGGCCTCTGAGGTTTGCCCACCAAAGAGTCCGGCTGGTCCTGCCAGGCTCCCGTGGGCAGCAGGCGTGGCGGAATCAGACATGATCCCTGCCCACCATGAAATAACCCCCCACACTGCAATCGCGCCTCCTAGTGCCCGGCCTGACTCTAGCACAGGGCCTGGCTAGCACACAGGAGCTCAGATACGGGGCACAGCCGCGGGAAGAAGTGGTCATACAGCTACGCTTGTTATAATCGGTGTGTTTCCCGGGTGATTTTATAGTTACCTCCTTTAACCCTCCCAGGGACCCTGCGAGGTAGATGATGTCATTCCTATTTCTTTTAAAATATATTTTATTGATTTTTTACAGAGAGGAAGGGAGAGGGATAGAGAGTTAGAAACATCGATGAGAAAGAAACATCGACCAGCTGCCTCCTGCACACTCCCCACTGGGGATGTGCCCGCAACCAAGGTACATGCCCTTGACCGGAGTCGAACCCGGGACCCTTCAGTCCGAAGGCCGCCACTCTATCCACTGAGCCAAACCGGTCAGGGCTCATTCCTATTTTATAAATGAGGCCCAGAGAGGTACGGAAGCCTGTCCAGGATCACACAGCCACTAAACGACAAGGCTGGAACTTGGCCCCAAACCCACCTCCTTCTTTTAAAACAACGGCTCTCAAGGATGTTCCTGCAACAGAGAGAGACCATGAGGCCATGGGGCCCTGGGTAGGACACCAGGGTCCTTTGATACAGTGACTCCTGTCCTGGGAAATCAGGAAAAAATACAGCAGGAAGCACGTGTGATAAACATCACAGCCACGTACACGCAAACCGTGAAAAGAGCCAACTACCCAACCTTGTGGTTTGCACGTTTCCTTGTCCTGATCTGATTACCTTTCGCTCAGCTGTGTGGGCACCTGAAGGAACCTGCCGTAGACAAAAGGCATCCGGGGCCTGGGGTGCGGGGAGTGGGAGAAGGACTGAGAGGAGACAAGCCTGAGACGTGTGACCTGCTGAGACTGTGAGGGGGAAAGACCAGCTTCGTGGCTGGACTGGCACAGCAGCCTGTTCAGAGCCTCGATTCTGTCCTACTCCCACGCCCCTCCCTCCGCGTGTCCCCCTCCCCGGGACGTGCGCTCCAGGACAGGGCTGCATCTGGGCACCTCGGGTCTCCAGATCGTCCACAGCGCGGGCGGGTGGTAAGCAGGTGTCAGACGGAGGGAGGGGTGTCTGCCTGGGTCCACCCCCAAGGCAATTTCTGAGGAACAGAACAAACCCAGATTAGCAGCTCAGTTACTCAGTTGGCTGGACATGTGCAAACAGCTCGTCCAGATCCTCCAGACGTCTGAGCGCAGCTAGGTGTCAGAAACTGCGCGCCGGGGGCGGGTGGCTCCGGCCGGCCTGAACGGATGCCTCGGTTGGAACGGGAGCTGTTCTCCGGCAGCTTCT